TAAAAGCTTCTGCACTGCAAAGGAAACAACAGAGCAAAGGAGTTTATAGTAGGAGAAAATATTTTCCAGCTTTTCATCTGATAAGAGGATTAATATTCAGAATTTATAAAAGAACTAAAAGAAAAAAATCTTAAGAAAACACGTATCTAATCATAAAAAAATGAGCAAATGACTTGAATAGACCTTTTCAAGAAAAGTACAAATGGCCCATAAATATCTGAGAAACACTTGTTAGATATCAGTGAAATGCAAATCAAAACTACATTGAATTTTCATTTTGCCCCAGCTAGAATGGCTCTCTGTCTGTCTGTCTATGCATCTCTCTATGCTGGTGAGAATGTGGAGAAAAGGAATCCATGTAAACTAGTGATGGGAAGGTAAATTAATACAGCCCTTAGGAGAACAGTGTGGAGGTTCCTCAAAAAATTGAAAATAGAGTTGCCTACCATGTAATCAAGCTGTACTGTTCCTGGGTATATATCTGGAGGAAATGAAAGCATACCAAAAGATATTTGCTCACCCTTGTTTATTTCCAGTACTGTTTACAATAGCCAAAATATGGAATTAGCTGAAGTGCTTGTCAGCAGATGAATGGATAAAGAAAATATGGTGTATATATCCAATGGAGTATTACTGAACCATAAAGAGGAATGTAATCCTGTCATTTGCAAGAAAATAGATGGTACTGGAGGATAACATGTCAAGTGAAATGAGCCAGTCACAGAAGGACATGTGTCTTATGTTTTCTCTCATGTGGTAACTTAAAAAAAAACATACTGATGATCTGAAAATAGAAGAGGGACTATTGGAGGACTTGACTAGGAAGTAGGGGGACAGGAAAAGGATAGAAAGAAGAGTAGGTATCATCAATGCATGATATGTGTATTTTGTGGAAATGTCACAGTGAAACATAAATTTGCATAATTAATATGTTAATTATATTACACAATTATTTTGACTATTCTGGTTCTTTTATCTTTTGGTATACATTTTAAAGCCCATTTGTCTATTGTCTACCTATGTGTGCAAAAAGTCCTTTGATTTTAATTGGAATTATCTTGAACATAAAGATTATTTCCAGAGAATTGACATCTTAATTGTCTTGAATTTTCCAATCCATTAACAGAATAGGTCTTCTTGTCATTTCTTTTGTCAGTGCTTTTACAGTTTTCAGCACAGAGATCCTGCATGTTTTGTTAATTTTTTTGTAAATATTTGATTTTGGTACCATGATTGATAAAGAAAATATGGTATATATATACCTGATGGAGTGTTATTGAATCATAAAGAAAAATATAATCCTGTCAATTTGCAAGAGAATAGATTGTATCCAAGGATACCATGTTAAGTGAAAATGCTCACCAGCCACAATAGATCTGAGACATTTAGTCCATTTTTGGAGCCACTTGTTACTTTGATAAGCTTCCTTAATAATTCTAGGGCACAGCCTGATTATTTAAGAAATTATAAACTGGGAATGACTTTATAAGTTTTTTTTTTGCTGGAATGTCAAATATTAAATGAGAAAAGATTTTCCTTTATTTGCTTTTGCAGTCTGTGTACTTAAGTAGCTTCTTCACTACTAGTTAAATTTTCATAAGGCCTGATAATGGAAGCCTCAAACTGAAAAACCATACTAACATCAAAGTCTAGTTCCTCCCTCGTTTTGTAATTAAATAATGATATTGGCTAGTTTTATGAAAAACTTTATAATGTCATAATCATAAATTTTAACTGAAGAGATAATTTAATAACTGTTCTTTTCCTTTTTCCCATCAGGTATTGGGAGAGTTGCTGCTACATCTTTAGGAAATTTAACTAACCATGGGTCTGAAGATTTACCCCTTCCTCCTGGCTGGTCTGTGGACTGGACAATGAGAGGGAGAAAATATTATATCGATCATAATACAAACACAACTCATTGGAGCCATCCTCTTGAACGAGAAGGACTTCCTCCTGGATGGGAACGAGTTGAGTCATCAGAATTTGGAACTTATTATGTAGATCACACAAATAAAAAGGCTCAGTACAGACATCCTTGTGCTCCTAGGTAGAGTATCAATTTTATTTTCAACTTTTTGTTTTCAGATTGTCTTGTGTTAGATTTTGGACTTACAGTTTCATCAGAGGTAGGTATCCTGAAACTTGAGATTTAAGACCTTATTTCTCAAAATTTGTGATAATTTTCTCTGAACTTATTTTAGTGATGAATGACTTTAATAATTTAAAAAGTACTTTTTGTACTCAAAAAGAGGCTCAGTGTTCTTGTAATCAGATTGTTTTAATATGCCAGGATGTTTTTGTTAGATAGTCAGAAGTTGACATAAATAAGTAAAACATCTTTATCTTTATAAATTCCTGTAAATAATTCATACCTACCTCTACCTCCTTAATCAAAATATTTTTGAATTTTATTCAATTTCAGACATGATTTTATGTAGTGTTTCTTACTGTTCCCAATTAAGAAAGTGAAAATTGAGACTGGACTAAATGTCTCAGATCTATTTAATCAATATAGCTAATTATTCTATTTTGTCTGATACTGGGATTACCAGTCAATTGATTTGTTGCCACCGTTTTCACCTTGTGCTAATACTGCAGCCAGTTATCACATGAGCACTTGAAATGTGATTAATCCAAATTGAGATGTGCTGTAAGTGTAAAATACACACTGCTTTCAAAGTACATATAAAGCTAGTAGTAGTTTAGTAATGAAGTGGCAAGTATTTCTCCTTAACTATATTTATAGAACTTCAAGAGCTGAGTCATAAGATTAAAAATGGGTAAAATGTCACCAGCATATTGATAAATGTTACCTAGTATCATCTTAGATAATACAGGTTTTTGGTTATAGTACTACATTTGTGATTTTTTTAAGAATCCTTAAAATCATTATGAAAATATATTTTAGTGGTATCACAGAGAAGGCTAAACTTTATCATTGATTCGGCTTTGAAAATCTTTTTTTCCTATGATTCTCTTTAGTGGTATTTGGTCGGTTTTTTGAATGACAGGTTGTTCTCCCTTCAAAAGAACCAAACTTGGGCTGAAGTTGTGGCTCAGTAGTAGAGCACTTGCCTACTCAGCACCACATAAAAATAAATAAATAATTAAAGTTATGTCCATCTACAACTGAAAAAATATATTTTAAAAAGAAAGGAAAAAAGAACCAAACCTGTCATTACCCTTTGCTGTCACTAGGTGGCTGAGATATTTGTGGCCCAAATAACCACATTTGAGAGTCTACTTTTCTCTCCATCGGCATTATCCTTACAATATTATAGAATTTTTATGGTTGTCAAAAGCATTTTCACAATTAATTAATTTGCTTCTTCCAGAATCTCTGAAGAAAACAGGAGGAAATAAACACTTCTTTCAGATTACATAATAAGTAGTTATAGCAATTTGATTTCTTCTGAATCCTCAGTAGAGCTCTTGGTTGACATTAGCTCATTTAATCTGAGAATAATCATGTGTGGTATGAATTTATTATTTCACTTTTACAAATATAGTAAGCTGGCGCTTAGAGAAGTGAAGCAGTTTTGCCCACATTAATGACTCATAGTGGTCAAGCTGAAGTTTTAAAAACAAGTATATTTGACTTCAGAGCCTCAATTTTTCCCTACTGCCAACTTGCGGTGTCAGTGAATGTTTCCCTTTGAACCTACTCATGGAAGAAAAATTGAAGATAAATTTCAGTGCCATTTTGCACATTGTCTTTAAATTGTTAACCACAGTGTGGTGTCTTATTTTAATCCTGGTTTAGAAGCTATGACCCTTTCTGATATAACATAAATTTTTATGTTTGGAGGAAGACTTTTTAAGTCCATGATTGAAAATAGGTTCTAGTCAATTCTACCTCCT